TAAATTTTTCTAAAATTATATCGTTTGTTATTACAGTAAATTAAATTAATTAAAAGAAAAAATATTAACAAAGAAAAGAATTTATTTTGTTTTGCAAGTGAATGTCACCCCTTAAAGCGAACCTAACATTACCCACCTCCCACCCAACCGACCGGAGCGCTGGTCTGACGGATAATGGAAAAATCCAACCGAAAAATAATGACAGTCCGGGCTGCCTTGAAGGCGATCGTTCGTTCGCGGAAGGCCACTGTTGACATACCTTTTTACAATACACCACAGATTCGCTCATCAGCTGCTATAAGTTATAGGAAATTATTTAAAGCTCTCGTTGGTTGGTTTTGATACGGATAATAGAGTCAGAGAAATTAATGCTAGTATTTAGAATGAGTATTAAAGTCGTTGCATAAGCAACGAAAATATTTGTGGACCCCTTACAACTGAGCAATGCCTAACCAGTAAAGTAAAGAGTAATTTGCTAACGTGTGGCTCATTGAACTCCTTGGTCCAACGTTTAATGAAAGCTAAGACACCTATAGCTTTGTTTTTCACAATTAGTGCATAACTTCTGTGATCTAGTCAAGGGTCCATTGTGACTTGGACTTATATTGTGACAACTACTTATATTCGTTATATATTTGTGGGCAGCATTTACTCAAGGCTTGGTACCTGATGAGTACCACCTGTACAGTGGCGAAATATTAAGAATTTGAAGAATATGGTTAATTGTTTCTCTATTAATTCCCAACAGCAACGGTTGTTCCAGGGCAGACCTATTTTGATGCAGTTACCAATTTTTGTAGCTGTAAGTCTATATACACTGGGCCTATATCTGTGTTTTTGTTTTGGTTCAGTAATATCTAGATTCTCATCTATCAAATGGCAAGTGAAACTTTCTCCAAATCATCACTAACGCACATACTATAATCTTCCCTTCACTTTCGTGTAGAAGTCTTTTCTATAGCAAGTATTTTCGCTTTATAGACGCTGGCTCTCCTTTGGCTTTTGGTTGGCACAAAGAAAATGAGGTTTTGGGATAGTCGAGTATACCTCCCCGTCTCTATACCGCTGTCCATTTTTCAACCACCGATAGAGCTTCAGATACCATTACATTTAGAATGTACCTGTACTTGGAAGCAATTATTAATTCCTACCATAAGGAGGATATAGTCTGATTCCCTTAAAGGTATTGTCATCTGATTTAGTATACACTTTCGGCAAATCGTTTTTGGTTCCAATATCTTCACTTTACAGATCTAATGACAGAGACATTTGCAACATTTCGTATGAAGACGTATATAAGTAGTTTATGCCAGAGCGTGTTAAGTTCATCTGTCGGTGTTGGCATAATGACATGATTTGAGAGCAGTACGAAGCTACTCTTTGCAATCGATTGATTTTCTATTGCAAAACTGTGCAGTTTCTGTACATCTGGCCTCTGAATCAAGACTTCATAAAGGTTTGAAAAATTTTTACTACTGCTGTGTAAAGGGAGCTGAAATAGTGGTGTTTTGGCTATATTAGTGAATACTGCCAGATCTGTATTATTATTTTTAATTAATCACAACATCAATGATGGTAGAAGGTAAGAGCTCTGAAACCAGATCATCTGCATATGGTATCACTTTTACTTGTCCTTCGTTGAGTTCGAGTAGTATTTCGCCTAGCGCCATTAACCGATAGAGTCAGGCACCAACTACAACCTTGAGCAGTCTCTCTACTAATTGTTGATTGTTGAGCAGCCGGTAGTTATAATTGGTCCGTTCATAAGCTTTGATTGCATCCATTTTCTAATGGTATGAAATCACTTGGAGACTTCTTGCTACAAAAGATACTTGAATAGTGACGTTCTATATCCATTCCAGCTACTGAATAATTGATGTTTTTAGCCTCTGTGGGGCCGCTGTTTTAAATGTTGAAAAACTGTTAACTGTTAACGGTACATTTGTTGTTATTCACGATCAGATTAGTTTATTAATGTATTTATTAATGGTTTATACTCGTTTTGTTTAGTGACAATACGGGAATTGTACTTTTATGGGAGATAGATATCCAGGCAGGGTTCTCCTTCGATATGCCGGCCGGATTATGGCGTTCTCTGGAGAATAATCTGCAAAGCCTGGCAGATAATTAGCAACTTTTAATAGATGAGTAATAAAATTGCCTTGCTTCTGCACTTTAGCATTGTGTCTTTAGTTTTAAAGCTTTCACTGCAGGCTTTCCTCACATGTATCTTTCATTTTTTAACGTCGCTTTACCACGATAGAAGCGGTTTCTTGCCTTTAAGAATACTCAAAGGTACGATTTATCTGAAAAAAAAAAATAAGAAAACTATTTTAAAAATGTCGTATCCGAGTCTAAAGTTGATGAGTTATGACTTTTTTTGATTATTTATTTTTTTAAGTAAATCACTATTAATTAACCCCTGAAATAACTTATTTTGACATACATACATGTATACTTATTCGGCACGAATACTCTTCCCAAAAGGTTAAATTGTCTACGGATTATATTTAATAGAGTTTCAATTCAAAAGCATTTTTATCATAAATACTTCTGAGAATTTTTCGGTTTCAGTAAATATCAATACTTGCATAAAATGAATATAAAGCACAATTTAAAGCTATCGAGCGCGCGTAAAGCTTTTCGTCCCAGCATATTAACAGCATTTCATACTGTATGCGTTGTTGCAAAAATATTAAACGAAATTCCAATAAAATTTTAATTGAGCAACATCGACCACTGCCTATGGAAGAGAAAATCTCATCTGTTTAATTTGCATTTTAATATGAAAATGAGAGCTTTACAAAATTTACGACGTCATATTCGAAAGCTTTGCGGGCGTTAATGATAAAGTAAATCTCAATTACAATTTTTATTGGTTTTAAAATTGGATTCAATGATTGCGGTAATGCTAGGATTAATGCGAAGGGAGTTTATATAGCGTAAAAAGTACTAATAATCGCAATTAAAATTTGCCTTTGGACAAAATGGAATTAAAAAAATTCCCATGAAAATGACGAATGGGGTATCTGCGAAATAGTTCGGAGCGCCTTAAATAATAATAATAATATATGTATGCTTTTAACACAGCTGCGGTATTCACAAAAAAAAAAAGAACAATGTAATTAAAAAAGAATAATGAAGATAATAATGAAAATAGCATAACTAACAAAGCTATAATAATTTCACTAAAATTAAAAAAAATAAAAAAAAATTAATAGCAATATAAGGTGCTCCATATTGCGGTTTCGAAATAAACGTAAATAAAATGCATATAAAATAATATTTTCCATTCTTCTTCATTCTTAGTCTGTACCATGGTATAATATGCGAAAGACTACATCATTGAAGAGACCGCCTCCCGAATTTTCACAAACTTCGATCCATTTGAGATAATTTTGGATGACCCTTTGGCGGTATCTCAGCCATAATGTGACGAATGTTGGTTTTCAAGTTCTCAAGAGTTAAAGGTATAGCCGCATAAACTCGATCTTTCTCGGAGCCTCACAAAAAAAAAATCCAACTGTGCCAAATCACGCCACCTCGGTGGTCAATTGGCATTGCAAAAATGTTCGCTTGTGTTGTATGACACCTACCACCATATTTTTGAAACCACATATTGTCCATCGTTTGATTATTTTACGACCATAAAACCCCGAATTGTCAATGACAGTCTTGCCGTTGGCGTTTTCAAGCTCGCACCAGACAATAAGTGTTTTTTTGTTTTTGGTGTAATGTCATATTTTCTATCAACCAGATAACCAATCATCAATCTTGGTATGGCCAACAACAAGTTATAGAAAAATAATTTAAATAAAATGGAAATGGATCAAAGAACCTGTATAAAATTTTGTGTGAAAAACGAAATAAAGTGCGCGGATTCATTCCGAACGTTGACTATGGCATACGAAAAAGCTACATTGGACCGAAGCAACGTTTATCGGTGGTACAAAATGTTCTCAGAAGGCCGAGAAGATGTGAACGACGAAGAGCGTGCCGGACGCCCGAACACTTCAACAACAGACATGGTGTATCATGAGTTATTGCCACAGGGTTGAACGGTCAATAAGGAATATAACCTGCAAGTTATGCGCAATTTGCGCGAAGCAATCCGCCAGAAATGCCCGGATTTGTGGAAGAATAAAAATTGGCTTTTGCACCACGACAATGCCCCTGCTCACACTTTGCTTGTGCGCGACTTTTTGGCCAAAAACAACACACTAATGATGCCGCAGCCACCGTATTCCCCAGATCAGGCCCTCTGTGATTTTTTCTGGTTCCCTAAACTGAAGAGGCCCATGAAAGGACGACGTTACGCTACGATTGACAAGATAAAGACGGCATCGAAGGAGAAGCAGAACAAGATAAAAAATTAATAATTATTTGAAGCGCTTCGAAGATTGGAAAAACCTTTGGAGCTAGTGTATAATATCTCATGGGGATTACTTTGAAGGGGATAAAATAGATATTTATGAATAAATAAATAATTTTTGAAAAAACACAAAATTCGCGATTTGAGTGTGAATAATCACAGATCCGAATGTTGCATTTGGTTATTTCGAGGCATTAATATTGACATTTCCGTGGAAGACTTTAATTTCTAATTGGAATAAAAATTGGACAAAATACAGAGAAACAGACACAGAGCCACTGCAACGTTTGGCTGGGCCTTCTAATAATATTTTAATTATAGAAAGATGTTTTTAATATTTTCATTATATGGAAAAAGTATTTGTTGGTTATCTGCAAATCAGTGAAGGGCATTGGATGATATTTTTTTACTTTGCCACAGCCTACACCACTCAACACAAACCTTTAGCGTATAAAAAGCCTGGCACGTGAGCATTCTTCTTCTACTATGTACATCGATACTATCTAAATACGAAATAGAAATATAAACTTGCTTATCGATTGGTAAATAAGCGTTAATAAAATTAAGTGCTTTCCAGGCGGCCTGCAAATTTGAAAGCAACAAAACGGCAGACAGTAAGGAAGCGGACATGTGGCTGGACACAGCGAAGAAATTGTTTTGTGCAGCGCGTAAAAGTGTGGCCCATACATGTGTTTCCACACAACTACTACTCTCCATCGCCTTTGGCCTCTTTCCCTACAAATACAACAGCAAAACACGACGTTTGACTACTGCAAAGTGGCTCAAGTACTATTGGGTGCTGGTAAATATTGTCATGGTGTTGATAACTGTTTATTTGAATTTCTTTAAAAGAACACCAAGTGCAACAAGCTTTATTATCGATAAACCGTTAAACAAATTACTGGCCTACATACACTTTTTGCTGGGACTTGTAGTCTTTGTGGTTATAAGCAGTGCGAATTTCCGGCATAGAGCTGAAGTTTTGATCTTGCATAATGCCATTTTACAATTGCAACAACAACAGCAGCGGTGGCAACAGAAGTGGTCGAAAAAGAGCAATCCTCAAATCAGCGCACTTTTTGAAAACTACATAATCGCCAAAAATGTAATGACATTCCTGCAAGCGGCCTCAAATGTGCATGCAAAGTTGGGTTTTAATCCGAATCCATCATTTAAGTATGTGTGCTTCACCATCCTAACGATATGCGTAAAGAATATAACACTCTTCACGGTGTCCAATTTCTATCTCACTTTACTCTACATCTACCGGCTGTTGCAGCAGCTTAATTGGAATTTCAAAGAAGTGGTGTCGTTCTACAGCCTACGTGCTCGAGATGTGCCCGACACGGTGCCAATTGAAGACACGACGGAAATTGCATTTGATTTGAAGTTTGCTACGCCGTGCAAAAAAACGTCCGTCGAGTGTACAGGTGTTGATGTGGCCGCCATTGCGGAACTCTGCCGTCAATATGTGCGCATATGTCAGTTGATCCGACGCGTTTGTAAAGTTTACGAATGGCAAGTGCTGCTGTTTTTGATTATCATTTTGTTTGGCAATGTGATGTCCACCTTTTACTTCCTGGTTTATTTGGTTGGCAAGATGCTGCCGAAAGAATTGTTCTCACCTACGCTCTTTCTGGAATTATTCTTCATCAATGTATTGGATTTATGCTGTTATATGGTCATCTGTGAACGTTCTATGATGTCGGCCAAAGAGACCAGCTTCATATTGCATCAGTTGTGTCGATTGGAGGAGTTGCCGGACGAGATAAGAAATGAGGTGAGTACGAGCGTAGTTATAATGCCGATACAAAATTCTTCTTCTACTTGTACTTATTCGTAATCTTTGTCTCTTTTCCACCTTCTCTATATAAGCGCCATTGATTTCAATGCATTTCTTAAGCCTATAGATCCACTTCTGAAAACAGACTTCTAAATGTTGCTTTTTAAGCTTACCAAGTTCAGCTTTAACCGAAAGACTTTTTCTTTTACGTTGTTTTTTTTTTAATTTTTTGAAATAATTAAAAATCACAAGGTACTATATCCAGGCAACATAGTGCTGGACCTATTTCTTGGATCCCAGCGATCGCAATAAAATTACTCGTTATTTGGGCAGTGTGGAATGGCGAGTTGTCATGAGGTAAAAAGTAGCGTCGCAAATCCTCTTCGATCTACCATTTTACAGTTAGCATCTGATCCTTTTCCAGTGGAATAACAGCTACGATCTTAGATCGAATAAAGTGAGCTGACATAATTACTTGCGCAGCTGGTTTTTGTTGCTTAGATTTTACGGATGGGTTAGCTCCCGTTGGGCTCCATACCATGCGCTGCTGCTTGGTTTATGAACCGTACTTATAGAACCAAGATTCGTCACAAGTAAAGGCTTTACAAAAGTGGCTAAACTGACCATTTTCGAATTTTTTTTTCAGAAAAAATGAAATCATTTAAAATTCGTGCTGATTTCTTCGTGTATCCCAGATGCTTACTTTATATTCGCGATATAGTTGAATTCCTTAGCAATCCTATCGTATGTCAATCGTGGGTCTTCGTCAATTTCGGACCTCACCAGAGCTATAGTGACGTCATCAGTGGAAGATTTTGGTGAAGTGGAACTTCTCGGCGCGCGTCCTTTACGGGAAAATGTCCGGTCTGGAATCTGGGAAACCACTTGGAAATATGCTTTAAAGACAATGCAATCGTTCCGTGTGCAACGTGGCATTCACTGAACGCCGAAACCTCAAGAGAATCACATGGCGAATTTCTGTTTGCGTTGGGGTTCGAATTTCATATTTTCGGCTATCTTACGTTTTCTCGTCTCCCATTTAGCTGATCGTTCTAAAGTCTGATAGAAAGATAAATAAAGATTTGGTTTCTTTAGATTTAACAACAACAAATTGGAGAACTTTCAACTGACTAAACTTTTGTTAATCCTGATTTTTCTGGAGGCTTCAGGCGTTCCATTCCATCCGGTGGCTTTGCTAATAGAATAAAAAAAAAAAAAATTTGCCGTACTTTCAGCTCTTTCTGTATCGAGTTCGATTTTTTTTGACAGTAAATGGAAAGTTATTATCACGTCTCATGTAGTCTGTATCAACCGCATGGCTCTAATTCGGTTCACTTGTTTATTACACTAATTTTGCTTCACTGTAACCTTTTATTTTACATTCGCTACCCAACTTTATTTTGTCAATCAGGCCTGTATCTAAGTAGAAAGGGATAAATTCAAGTCATTGCTTGGTGCTACAGAAGCAACAAAAAGTTCACTCAATTCTCCATCGCGATTACTTTAGCTCTCGAATAGAGAATATATTCCAACGCTGCTGAGTAATCGGATGAGTATGAAAAGTGCTCCCTGAAAAATATGACGTCAGTACATTTACTATATCGATTCTCAGCTTCGGTAGGCTGCGGTTATTAGGACTCCCTCATGCCGCCACGTAGCAAGGCTTTCAAAAGAAGATCTTGGGGTTGCAGTATGACTCCAGATTTTCCTTTTGCTAAGCGAACTCTCTACGACAAATTGGTGACGATTGCAGTAATAATTGCAATTTCCGTGTAGCAGAAACTTGGTTACTCAAAGCGTTAGAAGTGACTTTTTTTTAGAAAGTAATGCGAAAAATTACATAACAAGTTTTATGAATAGTATTAACAAATTAATTAAAGGAAAATGAAAGCAAAAAATAAAAAGAGAAAAAATCGAAAAAATTATAAATAATTTATGAAAATACACACTCATACGTACTTGAGACGTTTTATTATAAAACCCTTACCTTCACATTATTTTGATACTTCTGCATTTTAATCTCAAAATATGCAGAAAATTCGAAATACACATTATATTATCTTTGAAAGTTATTATTTATTCAAAACAGGTTCCATTTGACTCAACATAACGTTTGTAGAAATGTCATTCTGTGTTCTTCAGTACCTCGGTTACTGCTGCTTGAATGGCTGGGATATTATCATAAAAAGCTCCCTTCATCTTGGTTTTTAATTTTGGAAATAAAAAATAGTCACATGGTGATAGATCAGGCGAATATGGAGGATGGTCGATGAGAGAAATCCCTTTTTTCATTAAAAATTCGAGCGATTTTTTGGTCATCATTTAATTCATGTGGAACAAATCGCGGACAGACTTTTTTTTCCCCAAATCTTCAGTTACAATTCTCAAATAGTGTTTTTACTCGTATTCAATTCCTCAGCCAATATTCTCGTAGTAAAATTTGCATCGATACCAATGATTTCACGGACTTTTTCCACCAGTTCAGCACGATTACTAGTTTCTAGACGTCATGGTCTAGGGTCGTCATTTACATACTCACGACCATTTTTAAATCGTGTAAACCACGCGTAAACTTACGTACGACTCATACAATCATCACAATAAACTTTTTTTATTAATTTTTTTTTTCAAGTTTGACACAAAATTTTATATTTGCTCTTTGTTCCATTTTATTTTTGAACTATTAGCACACTTCTGGTTCCACTTTTACATCTGTCATCCGACTTACATGGGATTAGGTGCGTTTGAAAGAGAATGAATGTATCTTTTTAATGTTGCAAATTTTCAATAGATGGCGCTGTATGTTGTATGATTTAAATATAAAGCTCGGTTATTTTTAGGACACACAATGTATTTATTGCTCAACTTAGTTAATACTTTAGACGATCTATTTTATTTAATACATTTTTCTTTGTTATTTTTGAATTATTTTTTATTACAGTTTTTTTTTCTTGCAACAAAAACTATATGCAATTGTGTTATTTATCTATTTATTTGCAGATTGAAATGCTCAGCATATTTATGGCTGGTGAAACTATACGGATTCGCTTTTGTGGCTTGTTAGAGTGGAATTTTCGTACCGGCGCCAGCTTTATGATAGCAACCATTTTATATTTGATTGTATTAGTGCAATTCGACTACTATAATCTATAAATTATATTTCGATATATATAAATATTTATTATAATCAATACTTCTGTTTTGTATGTAAGTAATAGCTTTGGATTTCATTATTTTTTTAATAAAATTTTATAGAATAATTCATAAATAGTAATAAATAATTTATTTACTGACTTTGAGAGGAACAAAATAGTTTAAGAGAGATTTGCAATAAGACACCAGCCGGACCAACACTTGAAATGTGAATGTCGCTAAAGGTTTTGTGTGTGTATTGAAATTTTCAATTAAGCTGAAAGATATATCAGAATGAGATGGAATACCTTAACGGCATGCAAGACTGCAGGACACAAAAGCAGAATGTCAAAAATGTCTGAAGCAGGCTTGAGTGAGTCATTGGAACAGCTCCTTGCTTTCAGTTTGACTTTATTTGGACATCTATAAGATGCGCTGTTCAGAAGACTACAGGCAGTTTCCAAACTATATATCAAGGTACTTTTAAGTTTCGCAACAAGCTTGATGTCATACGTAATGACTAATATAGATCGAATTAATCCTGGACCTCCATCTACCAATACAAAGTGCTAACACTTCTGTGTAAGGCATAGCAGCCTCCAGTATAACCCCACCTTACTTTGTATTTGCTATTTTAGACAAATCATAAAAAAAATTATAGTTCTTGCAGCCTAAGAAAATTAGCCACCCCTCTGCATATTATCCCAATTAAAGAGTAGCCTGAGAAGACTTCTCCATCTTCTGCGTTCTCATCCTTTCTATGAAAGTACATTCTTCGTGTCCTCTCTCCGTCTCGTTTTATTGTAGGAGCTCTGAGGATAACAAAAGGAAGCAAAATCATACTCGACGATGCGCGAGTAAAGACTAACCAATTTTTAGAAAAAGTTGGAATGTCCGATACAACAGTTTTCTAAAATCTTGCACAATCATCTAGGCATGACTAAGGATTGGTGCCGAGAATGCTCACGCCTCAACATAAATAAAAATCAAAAAAAAAAAAAAAAAAAAAAATGGCGCGTAAAGTGTTTACGCTCATTTTCTGACATCTGCAATGTGTTGAGGGCGGGTGCATTGAATCGACTTGCTCCTAAAAATGAACCTTGGCCTCATCAATATGAGCCTGAGTCAAAAGAAGACTTCATGGAGAGACATAGAGAGGACACAGTACTTTCCGAGGGGTTTAAGGTGTCACCGTTGGTTTTAAACGCGTGGCAACGACCTTTTGAGACTCGGAAAGAATATTATTGATCCATTTTACAACCCCAGAATACTACGCTTTAATGTACGATATACAGAAGGTGGAGCAAAAATTGAGGGAAGGTGTGACGCTTCTGCACAACAACGCGGCTACCCAAAAGAGCGTTGTTGTAATTTTTTCACTGCTTTCTAGAAAATATATGCTCTGAGGCAGTTCCATAAAATTTAAAACCAAAAACAATTCAACAAAGCAATGTCGTGGAAAAGCTTCTAGGAATTACGGAGGCGTCTTCTTGTGCGAACGAAATTCTCCAATGATAAAAAAGGCGTTGCTTTAATTTTTACATCTACAGAATATCTGAGCACTTGATTGTAGAAATGTATAAAAAGGAAAAAGGTAAAAACAACAATAAGTGAAAGCGACACGCATGTAGCTTAATGGGATAACCATAGGCTCATACTCCGGGCAACCCAAGTTCGAATCCAATTCGAACAAAGGTGTCTTGAAAAAGAAGTGTGATGAGGAAACGTGGTGGTTTCACAAATGACAGCTACAACTTCTATCGTCCAAAACTGTTGCTGTAATTTTTTCACTATTTCCAAAAAAATATATGGTCTGCGGCAGTTCCATAAACTTAAAACTAAAATTCAACAAACCAATGACGTGGAAAAGCTTCTAAGGGCCGCGTTGTGTCGACTGCTCGGCATAAAGTGTGCACCGATATTTTGAAGAACCCAGCCTGAAGCATAGCTCTGGTCGCGAGTGATTCTTATCTGTTTCCAAAAATGAAAAAAAGAGCTAAGAAGTAAAATATATACCATCGCTGAGGAAGACAAGGAGGCAGTTTCAGCGTATTTTTAAGATAAAGAGAAAACTTTTTCCCCAAGTTTATAAATAAAAAAATTAAAATATTTGAAAAATGCAGCTAAATTCACTGAGAACGAAAAATAATTTGGTTTTTCCATTTCCACCACTTACACGCTATTCCCGGCACATGAAAACGCATCCTCGGGTCAAACGAAACATCAAGGCGATATTTATTCGAAAGAAACTGCTCGGCGAGGTCTTACCTGGCAAATTTATGCTTCTCTCAGCTCATCTCTGTGGTGCTCATATAGTAAACGGCGACAATTTTTAAGTTCGTCCTAAATGATTTAGGGGTGTAATGGTGGGAAGTCTTGAATATTCAATTTAATCAGTGAAAAAAAGAGTTTGTTAGAACCTGCTACCTACCTACATATATACTCGTATGCTACACATGTGTGTGGTTTTTTGTTTAATTTTTTAACATTTGTTTTACTTGTTTATTAACAATCTTAGCGACATACGTATGCCCCCCTCCCCCACATCAAGTGTAATTCTCAGCATTATTATAAAAAATAAACTCAATTACTTCCTCAACCACTTCCTGCCCACAATTTCGAAATTTCTTTTAAACCACAAGGTAAAGAAACAAACTTACGCACAAACCATTCGCACCCAAGGCGCGTTGTCTTGTTTACAGCTTCAGCTTTAGTATCAGCAACGGCGTCATTACGTCATTCAATGCTATTGGCACTGTTCTCGATTGCCTGCCAATTCGGCTATGCTCCAATGCATCAGCACATTTCAAGTAGTGAATGAAAGTACAATTGGCATCAGTTCAGTTTCGCAATCATTCTCACTTGGCTTGAGTTAACTCGCCATTTATTTTATTTACCTTCCTTACCAATTTCTCTTTTTCTTTTGTTTCTTTTTTATTTTATGTTTTTTTTACTTTTTTTATTTATTTTTTTTTTTCCTAAATATTTGTTTATTTTATTTTGTTCTGCTTTGGGAACTTTCTTTATTTATTTGGCAGCTGTGTTAGCTTGCTATGTATATGGATATGTGTGCATGTTGGCAAGCCCTCCTGGAGCTATTAGGTCAAATTTTAGTTGTAAGCGGAAATTACCAGTGACATTTGGCCGCAGCAATCAAAACCTTCCGGAAATTTATGTATATTTTTCTTATGCATTTTTGTATGAGTTTTTTTAGGCTTTTGCTTAGAGACAATTCAAAAGAGTAGCTTAGGGTTCGACGGTTGAGCCTAAAAAACTTAGGTGTGTCCTTAACTAGTGAAATATGATTGATTAAACTTGATTATGTACAATTGGTTCCTTATAGCCTCCTTCCCAAATTTGTGTTGTGGTTGTGGTGATGTTTTTCAAGCCGCCGAAGCCAGTTGTGGTCGCATCATGTAAAGAAGCGATTCAAATAGTGTCTGTTAACAAAAGAGTGTACATTTACTGGGTACAAGGCCACACGTACCTTGAAGGCAATCAAATAGCAGACGAACTTGCCAAGAAGGGTGTCTATTTAGCACAAAACGCAGCATCAAACCTTCTAGTTCCATTCAAGAAAGTGAAGAAAAAGCAAAAAGTAATACTACTTCGCCAGGAAAATAGACGATCTGAGGACTGCATAATCGAGATGACTTTGTGTAAAACAAAAAATACTAAACTAACAAAGTTTGTACTATCTGTAAAGGGACTGGACCCCATGCTGCGAATAGGACTTTTAACAGGATATTGCCTTCCGGCGTCTCATGCGTTTAATATGGATCTGACTAAGGACAACGAATGTAGGAAATGCAAGGAATGCGCGGCGACAGAGGAACACGTAATCTGTGAATGCCCGGCATTCGGTAGACAAAGGCTTTACACACTTGATGCAGAAAGGCTACAGCATATTCAATCGCCAATGGCCAAGAGGCCAGTACAACTACTTAATTTCCCGAAAAGAGAGATTTGCTAGGTTCTGTTCCGGTAACTTCGATGTCAAAGATGCACGAGGTCTTGCTGTGTGTTTGGTGGGTTAGCAAAAATTTATCTATGTCCAAATGCTCAATTCGGCTCTCTACTGCCGGTCTACAACTGGATCGCTCGAAGGCAGCACTCATCCAGAAGAGGCCATCTTTGATCAACAGAGGCCGAATTGTGTTCCATCAGGACAACGCCAGGCCACACACATCTTTGGTGACGCGCCTGAAGCTCCAGTAGCTCGAATCCAAAGATGGTAATTTTTCCTGTCCATGGCGAACGCGCTTAATGTTGAGAAGTTGGCCTCAAGAGAGATCTGTCAAAATTGACTTTCCGACTTTTTTGCCAAAAGAGACGCAGCCTAATGAAGCTGGCATCTCGTTAGCAACAAGTTTACGAATAAAATGGCGTATATTTGACTTGAATCGAACAAATGTACACGAAGTTCTCATATTTTGAAAAATCAATAAATAACCGAACGAATTTCTTACTTGACCTAATATTTTGTTGTGAAAAATATTTAAAATAATTTTTAGCTCGATAAATATAGTAAATATTATTTTGAATAAAGAGTTATCCATTTTGCGGTTTGGAGAATAAACGTAAATGAAATGCTATTCAAATAATTTTTCTTATTAAATTCCATTCTTACCATAAAGCTTGAGCGTCGACGTTATTTTTCGAGCATATTTAGGCACATATTGACCCACCCTTGACGAATGTTATCATTAAATTTGAAAATTTACCAGCACAATAACAAGGTCTAACGGTGTCCAGTGGCAAGATGAGAGATTACTCGGCTGGGAAATTTCTCTTGCAAGAGAGACAAATTCGCTCGTGTTGTGTGGCATGTGGCACATTCTTGTTAAAACCACATATTGTTCAAGTCGTGTTTCTTAATTTCAACTCAAAAAAAAAAGTCGGTTATCATAGGTTCATATGTCTCCAAATTCACAGTGATAGTTCCGCCGTTGCCGTTTTCAAAGAAGTGAGGTCATTTCCGGACCAAAGAGCGCACTAGACATAAAGTCTTTTCTGAGCAT